CTGTGTGTTCTTATGGGAACCGCTATTCCAGGAAAGCTGACTGGCAAACAGGATGGTTTGAAGGGAGAACAGACAAAGGCAAAAAAAAGCCAATGGGAAAAATAAAGTCAACTGATTTGGGAAGAAGATTGCTGGAGAATGGAAAAAAGGAGCATCTTACAAAGAATAGGACGTTGAAGAAATAATAGAATTACTGGCAAAGGGAGATATTTAGGATGGGAGCGAGTTTATGCAGAGATGTTTTGGTTTTTGTTTTAAATACTAAATTTTTATTTAGGCTTTTTTAAGAGATGGGGGTCTCACTCTGTCCCCTAGGGTGGAGGGCAGTGGCATGATCGTAGCTCACTGCGACCTCAAATTCCTGGGCCCAAGTCCCAGTCTAGTCCTGACTGGCAAACAGGATGGTTTGAAGGGAAAACAGACAAAGGCAAAAAAAAAAAAGCCAGTGGGAAAAATAAAGTCAGCTGATTTGGGAAAGAATTGTAGATTTTGTGCGACATACCTATGCCTTATTATCACTCAAGAGGTGGCCCCCAAGGAGAGGAGATTTAGTGTTTTCCCAGAGGTAAGTTGTGGGGTGGTGGTGGGTGGAGGGAGCCTCTGGTTAGAGCAACAGCAACATTTGTTCAGGAGACAGTTACTGGGAGCAGGCAGACACATGGGATCCTGCCATAGCCCAGGCGTGTGTGCAGACTGAGCAGCACCATGTCACAGCTTTTTTTCCTGATCCAAAAAATCAGGAAAGGACAGAGTGTCAGCTGTTTCAGACACAATAGAAGGAAATGTTATTGAAGAAAATTTCCAAATCTAGTTTGCCCACTTACATCCTCTCATGACTTCCCCCTTCCACCTGGAAGTAGTTCTCCACAAAGTCCTAGAACAGTGACTGCTGGTGGCTATCACATGTAAGATACCCGGCCTCCCTTCCTCTCAGATTCTGAGAATCAACTGATGGTCTGCAAACTTCTGTGGAATGTGAATTCTGGAAGTACCTAGCTGCAACAAGAATTGGATTTTGTTTCATCCTGTTTTAATTGTGAAGCTGAGATTCTGTTTATGAGGGTTTTATTTTAAAGTTCAGGGACATGAACAGGTCCTAGAAGACAGATCTTAGAAGATGACAGTTGTCCTCTGAATTGTGTTTCACTTGCAGAAACTTATGCCCAAAGACCAAGAAACCTCGGTCTTTACTTCATCTCCTAGTCGCCACACAACTCAGAGGATTTAAACTCTCCCACCTGCTAGTGTATCATACTGGTGAAGGTCTTTGCTGGGTGAGTGCCAGAGCAGGGCTAATGATCTCCAGCCTGGCCGAGCACCTGGCTTATTTCACACTGCCTGCTGGAAGTTTTCTGCAATTGTTAGTGAAGATCAAGTGTTTCACATACTTCAAAATGAGGTTTTCCATAAGAATTGTAGATTTTGCACGACATATCTATGCCTTAATATCACTCAAGAGGTGGCCCCCAAGGAGAGGAGATTTAGTGTTTTCCCAGAGGTAAGTTGTGGGGTGGTGGTCGGAGGAGGGAGCCTCTGGCGAGAGCAACAGCAACATTTGTTCAGGAGACAGTTACTGGGAGCAGGCAGACACATGGGATCCTGCCATAGCCCAGGCATGTGTGCAGACTGAGCAGTACCATGTCACAAAGCAATGCCTAAGTCATTCCAATCATGTCCCTTGGCACCCAGTCCAAAGGCCTAGGATGAGGGAAGTACAAGTCAGAGAGACCCTCGCTCCGCCACCACTGAAATCCACACAGCTTCTGACATGAGCCCTGACTCAACTTTCAGCTGAGTTCAAGAGATTACCTTTGAATGTGATCAAGCTGAGTAAGATCTTTAGGGTGCCCTCCAAGAGAATGGCAACCAACTTTGAGCTGGGCTTAAAAGGCATGATTCTCTACAACTTCGAACTGCAGTGGGATTTAAAAATCAATGAATTGTCATTAAACTGACTTTAGTTGAAGAACATTGTCAATTTTATCAGAACTACTTGGGCTTACTGGTATTAGTTTCCTATTGCTGATATTACAAATTACTACACATTTAGTGGCTATTTTGCAGCTCTGGAGATCAGAAGTTCAAAATCAACCTCATTGGGCTAAAGTCAAGGTGTTGGTAGGGTTGGTTTCTCGTGGAGATTCCAGGGGAGAATCTGTTTCCTTACCTCTTCCAACTCCTTGAAGCTGCCTGCCAGTTCCTCAGGCTTCACAGCTAGCAGGGTGGTATCTTCCCCGTCTGTGTCGATCCTCCCATTGCCTTCTCTCCAGCACTGACGTGCCTGCCTCTCTTTTATAAGAACACTGTGATTATAATTGGCCCACCTGGATAATCCAGGCTACTCTCCCCTTCTCAAGATTATTAATTACATCTGCAAAGTTCTTTTGCCATATTCAGAAGTTCTGAAGATTAGGATGTGGATACTTTGAGGACCATTGTTCTTTCACAGGTATAAAGTCACATGACACTTTTTTTTTTTGATACAGAGTCTCACTATGTCACCCTTGGTAGTGTGCTGTGGTGTCACAGTTCACAGCAACCTCAAACTCCTGGGCTCAAGCGATTCTCTTGCCTCAGCCTCCCTAGTAGCTGGGACTACAGGTACCGGCCCGCCACAATGCCTGGCTATTTTTTGTTATTATCAGGCTGAGGCTGGGTTCAAACCCACTAGCCCCGGAGCATGTGGCCGGTACCTTAACTGCTGAGCTATGGGCGCCAAGCCACTTTTTCCATTTTTAGTAGAGACAGAGTGTGGCTCTTGCTCAGGTGGGCTGACCTCAAGCTATCCACCCACCTCAGCCTCCCAGAATGCTAGGATTACAGGGATGTGCTACCATGCCCAGTGAAAATGAAGTGCTTTTTACAGCCAGTTATTTTATGCATTTTACAATCTTTTACAATATTTTCAAACAATATGAAACTTTTCAAAAAAAATTGGTGTCTATGTGGAAGACTAAACTGGTTTATAGTCTTTGTTAATTACATCTAAGTTGTAGCAGTTTAAATAACAATGTTTGTTAATTGACCAGAGAGGGGGTGGAGACCAGGTGGGTGGATTGCTTGAGCTCATGAGTTGGAGACCAGCCCGAGCAAAAGTGATACTCCCTGTCTCTACTAAAAATAGAAAAACTGAGGCAAAAGAATCTTTTGAGCCCAAGTTGGAGGTTGTTGTGAGCTATGACGCCACCATGGCACTCTACCTAGGGTAACAGCTTGAGACTCTGTCTCTTAAAAACAAACAAAACCAATGTTTGCTAATTTTAAAATAAATTAATGATTAGTATGCACTTGTGATTACATGTATTTTCATCCTACTACTTAAATAGAACAAATTTCCTCAGAGGATATTTCAAAAAGGGCCTATACAGCTGGGTGAGGTGGTTCACACCTGTAATCCTAGCACTTGGGGAGACCAAAGCCCAAGGATTCCTGGAACTCAGGAATTTAAGACCAGCCTGAGCAAGAGCAAGACTCCATCTCTACTAAAAATAGAAAAACTTTGCTGTGAGCTGTGATGCCACAGCACTCTACCCAGGGGGACAGCTTGAAGCTCTGTCTCAAAAAAAAAAAAAAAAAAAAAGAAAAAGAAAAACTACTGGGTGTAGTGGCAGGTACCTGTAGTCTCATCTACTTGGGAGGCTGAGTGGATTACTCAAGCCCAAGAGTTTGAGGTTGTTATGAGCTATGACTGCCATGGCACCCTGTCCAGGGTGACAGGGTAAGACTCTGTCTCAAAAAAAAAAAAAAAAAAAGAAAGGTCAGAGGGCGCTTATACAAAGTTAGGCTGCAAAAAATTTAGGTCCAGTGAGTACATGTATTCTTCTGTGTGTGCCATTGTATCAATGTAGAATTATTTTCTTCAACTCTATTTATTGCTTCTGAAGAAGGGGCCGCTGTCCCTTCTGGGTGTGGTGTCCCTGGGGGACATGATGACACTGGTTCTGCATTGGAAAACTGCAAACTGAAATCAGTGCTGCTGCTTTGGGGACTGCTGCTGCAGAGACATTGTTAGAGTGATGTGGACAGAGCCAGAGCCAGTGGGAAGGAACAAGTCCCTTCCTCATCCAGTCTTTTTTTTTTTTTTTTTTTTGAGACAGAGCCTCAAGCTGTCC